AAAACTTCTAAGACCTACGTTTGCCATTTGTTTTAGATTTATAGATTTTTCAAAACTAGGTGAAAAAGTAATCTCTTGAGTTACATTAAAGACATTAAAGTAGTTCAAATCTCTTTGTATTACATACATACCCTTATGTTAATTAACTTAACGGGGAATTTACCATACCACCACAATTTAACAATTGCATTGATTAGATATTCTCTCTTTGTTTTCTTTTGTTTCGTTAGCAATAGGCATGTCGATCTAAAATCGATTAATCGAAAAATCGATTCTTTGGAGTAAAATTATCGTACATATTTTTAGATCGATTTGAAGCACCGCATCGATTAACTGAATCGATCCAAAAACCTCTTGAATCGGACTGATTCATTTGATTCAAGAACTAGCTAAAATTCCCAAACTGGCTGGGGTAAGATACCACAGTTTTTTAAGTTTTTGCTGTTGGGGGACGCAAAAACAATCGGTCGTACTTGGTTGATAATTTGAACGCAATATATACAATATGTAACGTAATTAACGCACACCCTCAGACACCCCAATTAGTATATTATGTTATAATCATAATACATACAATTTTAGTTAAACATTTTTATGCACTGATTATTTATCAAATTAGTTATAATAATTCCGCAAGAATGTTGTGGTCACAGTACAAATCCACGAACGCAAAGACTTTAATTGGCTTGAAATAAAGTTCATTTTTCTTTATTTTTATTGAATGACAGAATTGGTAATAATACAAATAAAACTGCACTCTTAAAAAGTCTCATTGCCTTAAGTTACGGTCCATCTCAGCTTGTTTTGACTGTACAGATTTAGTGTGACTGTGATTTACATACTTTTAATTATTTTGGGGATAAAAAATTACCTATATTAAAAATGATAGGAATCTATTCAGTAAACGATTCTGAGCAAACTACTTTCTCAAAATGCGTTAAATATGTTACATGTTCTATTTGAATAAAATAAATGTTTATGAACGCATCCAACAACATCGAAAAGTTGTCATTTCACTTTCATTTCTAAAAATTCTTAAGCCCACTTTCCACTAAGGGATATAATGTAATTTATGTTACATCTCGAGATATAAATTAATATCGCTCACCGTACTTTTAAATGGAACCGTTTCCACTGAGATATAATATATATTACATCCTAAACTAGAGCGTTAACCACTGAGCCGTGGTAGCTCAGTGGTTAACGCTCGCTGTAAATATAACAGAACTCGAGTAACCCGGGTTCGATCCTCCCCCCCCGGCACCAATGAAATATTTAATTGCAATTTTAAATGCTGATTTACCACGTGCTCGGCGGTGAAGGAAAACATCGTGAGGAAACCTGCATGTCTGAGGAATAAGAAAAAAAAATATTTCGAAGACATGTGAAGTTCGTCAACACGCATTTGGGCATCGCGGCGGACACTTCCTCGCCCTAAACCCTCTCAGAAATGAGGGGGAGGCCTGAGCCCAGCAGTGGGACGTATATAGGCTGTAACTTTACTTTACTTTACTTTACCTAAACTATAAATATTTTTTCGATCGACCGAGCGATATTTTCATATTATACTTCACTTCCTGTACTATAATATTATTGCTGTGAACCGTGATCTTGTGAATTTACATTATTTATTATCAAAATTATACATACTGTGAGCTGTAAGTACAAACAGAGTACTTTTTAAATACCTAGATACTGTAAATAAATCCGTACGTTGAAGTTTATAGAGGTTTATAGTAAGGAAATAACCAGTATTGTGTTCGTGTAGCATTCATTTCAATATGATAAATAGTGAGTTATTAGATTGAAACAGATTTATCGAGAAATCATGCAGTTTGCACTTTTGTTAAAGTATTGTTGTTGTTTTTAGCCTAAAATGTCAAATAAAAGTGTTACGTGGAATCACTTTTTTAAAAAAAAGTGATCGAGTGGAGTATGTGCTAACCACTCCTAACACAAGCGTTTCAAGCTTACCAGGAGTGGTTAAAAGGAATATTAGTAATGTTAATAAATAAGATTACTAATATTTTATTTAAAAATATTACAGTTTAGAAGTTAAAGAAGAAAAATAGAAAATTCTTGAAATTTCGTTTGAAAATGTCGCGATTAATTGAAAATCGATCTTTTAATCCTCGATTTAATCGATAATCGATTCAAGTACCTTCGATTCAAATCGATTCGGAGATCGATTTTTTTTAAGAGCGAATCGACATGCCTAGTTAGCAATCCGTTCAATTTATTATAATTTCAAATAGGAACTTTTCTAAACTTTAACACAAAATCAGTTAATAATATCGTATAGCTACATAATCACTTTTATATAATTATGATATTATGAACTTAATATATATCAAATCACAGTAATTTTATTATTATGATAAAGATAAACAGACAAGTTGTTGACATCAACTATATTTTTATTATTAACTGACTTTACGGCTCTGGGTTCTAGCCCTTCTGAGCCTATCATTTCTTTCGGATTCCTCATTTTTATATATTTTTCTTCACAATATTCTGATGCGTCACATTGTGAAGTTTTGGGAGATTTAGACGACAGCTCAACCCAACGGACAGTCGATGACGACAGCCACTCAAGTTCATAAGGCGCCCAAGCGATCTGAAATCGATTAATCAAAAATCTATTATTTAGTACAAAATAGTGATAAAACATTACATCGTTTCGATGAATCGATCCAAAAACCTATGGGAATCGGACCACAAACTAATAAGAGGAATCGGCCTAATTCAAGAACTAGCGATACATTACAATTTTTGTTGATGTCTGTCGAACGCAAAAATAACCGGTCGTATAATACTTGGTTATCAACCACGGTTTAAACGCAACAAATAATTATTTTTATGAACGCTTCCGAAGATGTCTTTCCTTAGGTCCTAAGATTAAGATCGAATGTCTTGTTTACAGAAAAAGGTTCTCAAATTATCCACACTTACCACAGGAAACACCTTACGAAACTAAAAAAATCTTTAGGCTATTTATAGTAATAAATTGGTATCTTTTTTTTGTGTGTGATACTGTTGTGAAACTCTACAATTTACTAATTAGTTTACAATTTACTAATTTAATTTAGCGAACACTACATATTGATTAAAACTACTTTTAAGGTTTTTAATTCCCAACGTTTCGGGTGCTTTCCAGCAGACATGGTCATCGGGAACTGAGGTGACTGATGTCCCGATGTCAGTGTTAGCCCGGAGTACCTTCAGCTCTTTAATTATTACTTATGGTGCGATCTACGCAGAATGAATTTACTGTATCTTGAAGCCTTGCAGTGGTATGCTTGGGTTTACTTTTAATTTTAGGTATTAATTACAGGATCCCAAGCAGGTTGTAGTTCCTCCTTCTCTATTGAAATGAGGATGCTATTTAATTTCATTTTTGGTAGGAATCGATGTTCTTTAACGAGGATTTGCGGTTTATCAAATCTGGTGTAATAGCGGGGGCCGTCTAGGATACGATTACAAACTACATGATGACTTTCCAGAACATTGGTGCTTCACGTCACCTATATGTTTTTTTACGCGGGTTTTAATTGATCTTTTTTGTTTGCTCTGTATATGAGAGCCCACATTCACAATTCAAAAAGCTTGTACACCCCTGCATCTTGTAGAGGGATATGACAATTAACGGATGGTAAGAACCGATATCTTCTCGGTGGTTTGTAAGCTTGTACTCATATAAAATAGAAGCTTCGGGACATCTCCCGTGACCATGGGTGCCGGAAAGCACCCGAAATCATCGCGGATTAAAAATCTGGTAAATTAAACGCGATAAAATCCGTAAAACTAGTTTTAATTTATGTGTGTTCGCATTTTATGCACCGCCATACCGTTCATCAGATTGCGGTAAAACTTTGTCAACATATTGCTTGCACTTCCGCGAAGGTTATCGGCATAGTTGGACCCGGTAGGTGGCGCTGTTGTAGCCCCCAGATATCACACTCACAATCATTGCGGTGTTGCGATACTACAAGACGGCGTTAAGAAGAAGGAATTAGAAAGAATGGAAGGAAAAAGGAAAATAAGTTTATTTAGTAGTATTATTATTAGCAATTGTAAATTATTGTTACGAGTTTGAGGTTCGTGACAATAAAAACTGCGGATTGAATTACTAAAATTTACACTTTAATTCACTTTACACTAATTAAAACTTAAAACACTAATAATTAACGACACTGATTCACTTTATTTCGCTCCGAAGCTTCGCCTGTCTCGCCAAATTCAATACTGCCCCGATCGCAGCATGCAGCGGGTTTAAATACACTTTTACGTCGAAACATCCAGAATATTTCCGTAGATACGGGCGCCGACCGACCAGACGCAGAAATTTCGAGTGTGAGGCTTCTAGAAAGCTTAGTTCTTCAATTCGATACTAGAGGGCGCTGTTTGTTAAAAGATTAGTCATGTCATTTTCTGGAAAGCTCTCCTCGCTCCGTTACCCGACACTAGATGGTGCTAGTGCCAGACGTCAACTTAGGCGCGCAACATTATTAAACCAACCAATCCAACTCAGCATGGTCTTGGTACTGACAAAGTACTTCTTTTTTATAGAATAAGGGTTGCAAAAGAGCACACAGTCCACCTGATAGTAAGTGAATGCTATGGCTCATAAACATATACACCTATTCTCTATCAAATTGCATATTCTCTATCAATTGAATCAAATTGCAGATGCGTTGCCATCCCTGGGGACAAAAATGAAATGCCTCGTAACCAGTAAAGAGGGTCCCCGGTTGTCTACACTTATCATACAAAACACAGCAGCATTGAGCAGCTATGTTACGCTGGTATTCTGTGAGAGTGTGGTCCTTCCCCGGTCGGGCCAACCCATTCGTGCTGCAACTATAATAAAGATGCAGCATGACTCTACCACGTATAATAATTCGACGGAGGTCTTTGTTTTGTAACCGAAATTGTGTAAACAAACTAACTTTTTATCCATATAAAACGAGGAATGGCATTGATTGTGTTAATATTTCCAGGTGAAGTGCCGAGCTGGTGAGTGGGATACGCAGGAAGACTCCGAGCTATATTCATCACAAGAACGGCGAGTTAAGAAGATCGTCACGCACGATGACTTCTTTAGATGTAAGGCACTATATTATATAATTTATTTTTAAAAGATCAGAAGAGGTTTTTTTTTCACGTGCTAGCGCTACGTTGGAGCTATATTATAGTTGCAGCAAGTATTAGTCGGCTCGACTGGGAAAAACCACGCTGTCACAGAATACTAACGTAATTTTTTATAGGGTTAGGGTGACAAACGAGCACACAGTCCACCTAATGACAAGTGGATGCTGTGGCCCATAGACATCTACATTTATCCTCGATTGAGAATCAAAATGCAAATGCATTGTCTTGGTCCCATATTTTTCATTCCAGTAAAACAGGTTTCCGGTTCTCTACACTCACCATACGAAACACAGCAGCATCAGGGTGCTATTTTACGCTGGTAGTCTATGAGAGCGTGGTCCTTCCCCGGTCGAGGTGATCCATTTATGATACAACAATAATAGTTGCAGCGTGGCTCTACCACGTATAGCAGCTTAATGCTACTGTGTTTCTTATGGTGAGTGTAGAGTCTGCAAGTGAGGGTACAATTGGAAACCTTTTTTCACTGAAATCGAGGCGTTCCATCTTAGTCCTTAGGGGTGAAAACGAATTTTGATTCTAATTTGAAGGTAGATGTCTTTGAGCCACAACATCCACTCAACATCAAGTGGACTGTTTGTTCGTTTGAAACCCTTATTCTATAAAATAATTAATAGATCGAACAGACGAAGCTGGGGCGGGACCCAAGTAAATAAATAATTAAGCAATAATCTGTGATTAATTTCCAGTGCAGGCTTATTACAACGTGGCCCTGTTGTTCTTGGAGAAACCTTTCACATTTCGTGACTCGCCTCAAATTGGAGTGGGATGTCTGGGCAAGACAATCCCTGCACCAGGCACCATGTGCTTCACCATGGGCTGGGGAAAAGATTTCAATGGCAAATACGCCACTACTCTCAAGAAGGTGAGTAAGAAAAATATCGGTGTGAAAAATTATTGGCGTGCCTTGGCAGTAAAACCGACTTGCGTGCCGTGACGATAAACGGCATGACGCTCTCTTGGGCGTCTTCTTCCGACGTACTTTTGTCCTTACGGGGATGTAGAGCTGTATGGTGGTCTCCGAAACACGCAGAGTTGTACTATGTGTAAATGGCACGTTTGTTTTATAGAACAGGGGGTAAACGAGCATGCGGCTCACCTGATGGTAACTGACTACCGCCGCCCATGAACAACGGCAACACCAGGAAAATTGCAGCCTTTAAGAAAGGAGTTAGCTCTTTTCTTGAAGGCCCCTAAGTCGTAACGGTCCGGTAAAATCGCCGGTGGTAAACGATTCCACAGAGAAGTTGTACGAGGAAGAAAACTTCTAGTAATACGCACAGTGGTGGACCGCCAAGCATCCAGATGGTGAGGATGGTAGGGTGGCGAAAGTTGCAAGTTTGTTGTGAAAACTGACTTACGGTCTACCTGCTGGTGTGTGCATAGCTGCACTATAGCCTAAGGACACCTTTAACCGACTTCAAATAAAAATGCGTTGTCATCTCTGAGGAACAAGGTGGAATGTCTTAAAGTGTGTAAATATACTGGTTTTCTATACTCTTCCATCCCGAACAAAGCAGTGCAACGCTGCAGCTATATTATGGTTGTATCACGAATGAGTCGGCTCGACCGGGAAAGAACCACGCTCTCACAGAATACCAACGTAAAATAGCAGCTTAATACTGCTGTGTTTCGTATGGTAAGTGTAGAGATCCGAAGACCCGTTTTTACCGAAAACGAGATATTCCACCTTAGTCCTCACGGGTGACAACGCATCTGCATTTTAATTCTTAATGGAGGGTAAATGTAGATGTCAATGGACCACAGCATCCATCTACCATCAGGTGGACTGAGTACTCGTTTGCTACACTTATTATTTAAAAAAAAATATAGCGCGATAGCTTCGGAACTTTGATAGCGCGATTTATGCCTCAGTGCGTTTCACTTGTGGTGCGACACCAACGTCGCCACATCAACCCCCTGCTCAGACCGGAGGTCGATAGTGCAGTTCGTTTGCCGGTGCGTCCTTGATGTCGGTGTGGAATGCGTGATGTATGCGTAAGGGCAAGTGACGCCGGTGCGAACGATATGCCGGTGTGTAACGCATTTACTACTTTTAAGTGATGCCCGTGAGAACGATGGGCCGAAGCAAGTGCTAGAAGTCTGCCCTATAAATTTGCGGTGAGTCGATATGTAGACAAGTTGGACTGGCTTGTAGGAGTTGAATACTGCAGATGACGATACTCGGGAGTTAATGCTAAGGTTCTTGAGGACAATGGCGAAGGCTTGAAATTGTAGTTTCCGAAGGTTGATAGTTCCGCTGTTCACATCACGTCGGGGTCACCACTGTGGCCGTGGAAGGAAAAAGGGGAGATCTTCCGCGATTTAGGCTTCGGTACGTTTTGCTTGTAGCGCGACGACGGCGCCGCCACAAATGAGTATTGAGTATTTAAGAACATTGAAAAGAAACTTTTTTTTAGATAAAACTGCCGCTTATTGAATCGGACAAATGCCAGCACAGCCTACGTAACACCAGACTGGGCTCCCGATTCCTTCTCCACCCGTCTCTGATCTGTGCAGGCGGTGAGGCTGGGGTCGACACTTGTAAGGGTGATGGTGGTTCACCCCTTGTTTGTAGCATTGAGGTGAGTGGTTTTATTGGTATATCATAGTTCGTATCACCTAGACCTAGATAAAAAACTAATGTAGTACTGTTGCAAAACGATGTTGTGACCAGGTTTAAGAAAGGAATGCTTCGGTGGCTTGGTTATGTAGAAAAATTAACGAGGAAAGAGTGACAAAGAAAATTTATGTTGCAGAAGTGAATGGCAGAGTCGGGAAGGGACGTCCTAGACGAAAGTTTATTGAACAATTTGGTGATATTTTGAAGATCAGCCATTTAAGAGTGCTCTTAAGCAATGAGCATGTATGCGTAGGCATATGGATGTAAAGGAGGAGAAAGAGGTGTCAGGATCTTGCCAAATAGAAGTCCGTAGTCTCTGTCTACCCCTCTGGGTGACAAGCATGAATATTTATGTTCTATAGTGTATAATGTCCTCCAGACCGAATTTCGATCAATAGCCATCTGCGCAGAACAGGATTATAGTGCACGAGTGTATGCGCAAACACAGATGCACTCTCTATTCCCTCATTCTCATAGTCCGATGGGCTACGTTTACCAGCTTACCAGTGACCGTGTCTGAGACACGTGGGTAAACCAAAAATAAAGGTGACAAACAAGCACACAGTCCACCTGATGGTAAGTGGATGATGTGGCCCATAGATGTAGATATCTATGGGCCACATCTCCCTACATGGTGGACTGTGTGCTTGTTTGTCATCTCCTATAAAACAAATTCCATCTTACACCTGAGGGCTCGCCAAAGAATCACAATTCAGATGCGTTGTCACCCAGCAGGATTAAGATGAAATGCCTCGCTTCCGGTAAAAAGGGTCTCCGGTTCTCTACACTCACCATACAACACACAGCATCAAGTTAGTATTTCACGCTGGGGTTCTGCGAGAGCGTGGTCCTTTTCCGGTCGAGTCGATCCATTCGTGCTAAAATTATATTAAATCTGCAAGATGGTTTTACCACGTTAAATCAATAAAACAATTCTCTACATTTATCTGTAACATTTCTATGTTTATACTTTTATTGATGCTACTCTTTTATAGTAACTTTCGTTTAACAATATCTTTATTGAGACAAATGAACAGTTTTTTAAAAAAAATTAAGTCCCTGCTAACATCGTCCAAACACTTATTAATACTGTTGTATTTCGTATGGCATTTACGTGGTAGTACCACACTGCAGCTATACTATAGTTGTAGCACGAATGGGTCGGCTCGACCGAGGCAGGACCACGCTCTCACAGAATACCAGCGTAAAATAGCAGCGTAATACTGCTGTGTTTCGTATGATGAGTGAAGAGAACCGCAGACCCTTTCTACTGGAATCGCGGCATTCCAACTTAGTTCTCAGGAGTGACAATACACTTGCATTTTGATTCTTATTTGAGGATAAATGTGGATATCTATGGGCCACAGCATCCACTTACCATCAGGTGGACTGTGAGCTCGTTTGTCATCCAGCCCTATAAAACAAATTCCATCTTAGACCTGAGGGCTGTAATCGCATCTGCATTTCGATTACTAATCGATGATAAATGTAGATGTCTATCGGCCCTAACAGTCGCTTACCATCTAATGGGCTTTATGTTCGTTTTTCACCCTTATTTTATTAAAAATAACACACACAAAGACAATTTTTTTACTATTTTAAGCCAACACCTAACTAAAATCCAAGCTGATAGGAAGTGGTGATGCAGCCTAAGAAGGTGAGGCGCACTGATTTAACAAAAGCCTGTTCACTCTTGCTTTGAAGACACCAACACTGTAATCGGATGGAAAGACAACGACGCATGACGAACGACTTGGTAAACCATTTGATTTGAACGTCTGGTTGTCCGATGGTGGAAGGGAGAGGGGGGAATTAAATTATTCTATTCCTGCGCAACCTCTCCGAAATGCATCCTGTAAAAAACCAAAGGGCTGGCTACTTTGCGCCTTTGCTCGAGGTGTAAAATTGGTTTTAACCAAATTCGCGTCACCAATAAGCCTTTATATTGTTATTACACTAAATTTTTACAGGATCCCAAAAAAGACACTCGCTTCGCAATATTCGGCATCGTCTCATCAGGAATTGGATGCGGGAGGAGTGATGTTCCAGGTGTATACGTAAACGTGCCCTACATCTACGACTGGGTTGTGGAGCAGATGAATGAGGAAAAACTGGATAAAACCTCCTTTACCTACTAAACAGAGAGGGTGAAGTGGAAGATAGAAATAAAGACTTCAAATATTTTTTTTACTGTGTTTGACTTTCCACCTCGGTTACATTAACGCTTAGTTTAATGAAGTGATCAGTAAACAGATAGGTAGATATATAACTTGTATACGTGGTAGAGCCCCGCTACAGCTATGTAACAGTTGTAAAACGAATGGGTCGACTCGACAGTGGCAGGACCATGCTCTCATTGAATACAAGCATAAAAAGTAGCTTAATGCTGCTGCTCTCTTTCGTGTGGTGAGTGTAGCGAATTGGAGAGGGGTGACAACTGACAACGCATATGCATTTTGATTCTTAATTGAGGATAAATGTAGACGTCTATGGGCCACAGCTTCATTTTACAATCGGGTGGACTGTGTGCTCTTTTGTCACCCTAATCTATAAAAAAAACTCTTTATTGCATTTAAACAAAGTAAATAACGGAAGTCTCATAAACTACAAACAGTGGTCATAGCGCTTTAAGCGATTTCTATCTGACAAACCGAACGTAGAAGGATATTGTAATTTTATATTTTGACGGATAGGTGCAACGTGCAATATAAAATAAACTGAGGAAAAGAAAAGAAAAAAAAAGCTAATTATTATTTATATAAATATATGAATAATAATATAGTATGTTATGAACATGTATTAATACATAAAGAAAAAAAATCAAGTATTAATCAAAAGAGGAAATACATATAGTTTATTATTATGACGGGGAATTTAAATAGTACTCCTTAAGCTTTGACTTATATATTACTAGTGTACTTCGTTGTTTTTTAAAAGTCTGTAAAGATATTGTTACGATACTAGATGACGCTAGTGGCATGTACTGACATCAACTGTGGCGAGCAACAATATCTCTTGCAGTTAAATGGTAATGAATTCCAAAGTCGGTTACTGGAGGTAAATGACTTATTATAAAATGAAGTTGCGTTTCAAGAAGTATTTAAAGCCGGGCTACACACTGAATGTAAATTATGGACATGAAATTCATGTCGTTAGTGAAATCGTTTATTAAGGTACCTTGGAGATTTTTTTCTTATTATAACTTGAGTGCTTAACCAATTTCCCTGGTGGTAAGTGGTGATGCAACTCAGATGGTAAAGTGCTTGACAAAAGCCTATTTACTCCTGCATTGAGGAAGTCCAGGTTGTATTCGTACGGAAAATAGACGTCGGCAAATTATTCCACTCCTCCAATGCGTACAGCAAACGCATTACAAGAATAAGAAGCAAACTGTTTGCTTCTAATGCGTAGAATATCAAAAACAAAGGGCAATACCTGCGACCGTCTAGTTGCCTGATAGTGGAAAGGAGAGCCAGGAATTAAAGCGTGCAATTAATAAATGAGTGTATGAATGTAGTAAGTGAACTCAAAGTCGCTCAGCGAGCTATGGAGAGGCTATGCTCGGAGTTTCTCTGCGTGATAAACTTAGAAATGAGGATATCCGCAGTAGAACCAGAGTGACCGACATAGCCCAACGTATTAGTAAGCTGAAGTGGCAATGGGCCGGCCATATAGCTCGTAGAACCGACAACCGTTGGGGAAAAAAGGTTCCCGAGTGGCAGCCTCGTACTGCTGTGCGCGAAGTGTAGGGCGAACTCCACTGGATGGAGTGACGACCTGGTAAGACACGCAGAAAGTCGATGGATGCAGGTGGACCAGGACCGTGTTTTGTGGTATTCCTTGGTGGAGGCCTATGTTCAGCAATGGATTTGTGAATAAGGGCTGTAATGATGATGATGATGATGAATTAATAAATGCGTGTAATAATTAAGGATAGATTTTGGATCAAAAAGTACACAGGAAAGTAAGAAACTATATGAATATATGGCGAAGGCCGATTGGGAGCCACTTGAGTTGATTTCCAAAGTTTGGTGACAAACGAGCACACAGTCCACCTCATGGTGAGTGGTTGCTCTGGCCTATAGACATCTAACATGTATTCTCGATTACAAATCCAAATGCAGATGCGTTGTCACCCCTAAGGACTAAGATGGAATGCCTCGTTTCCAGTAAATGGGTCTCCGGTTCTCTACACTCACCATACGAAACACAGCAGCATTAAGCTGATATTTTACGCTGGTATTCTGAGAGAGAGTGGTCCTTCGCCAGTCGTGCCGACCCATTCGTGCTACAACTATATCAATAATATAGTCACAGCATGGCTCTACCACGTATAAAAAATTGGGATACTTGGTCAATATTTGCGTATACCAAATGTTCAAATATGAAGTGAACGGATAGATTCTAAAGTCGATCAAGCTTGTTTAATTACTCCACAGTAATGTCCATCCAGTATTTAGGTCAGTAGCAGTATCAAGTGATTAGTAGTTTAGTTACGTTACTATTTAACTGCTAATGCACGGTTTATTATATATTAGCAACCCGCCCAGGTTCCGCCTAGCTAGAATGTATTAATGTGGTGTTATTTAGATCAATATATTCAAAAGACATTGATTCTATCGATTCTTCGTGTTTCTTTTTTTTCTCAAAAAAAATACTTTAAGATTTTCGTATAAAATATAGCCTAGATAACTTTCCTGGCAATGCCCTCTATCTGTTCATTAAGTTTCATTACAATCGGTTTTTTTTATAGCATAGGGTGACAAACGAGCACAGAGTCCACCTGATGGTAAGTGTATGCTGCGGCCCATAGACATCTATATCTATCCTCGATTACAAATCAAAATGCAGATGCGTTGTCACCCGTGAGGACTAAGATGGAGTGCCTCATTCCCTGTAAAAAGGGTCACCGGTTCTCTACACTCACCATACGAAATACAGCAGCATTAAGCTACTATTTCACGCTGGTATTCTGTGAGAGCGTGCTCCTTCACCGGTCGTGCAGACCCATTCGTGCTACAACTATACTACTGATATAACTGTTCACACATTCCGAAAATTAGTCCGGACAGACAGATAGACAAACAAACATATATTTTATTATCTATCTTTTTATTTAAAAAGGTTTTTATCCTACAAGGATATGTCAGCCTTACCGTAACATACCTTCATGCTGTTACACAAATCCTAAGTACGTATTTAGAAAGGGAGAATCGATGTGGTACGAATACGGAAATTAAGGGGATATAGTAAGTCAGCTCAAATTCTAATTTCGTCCCCACTTGCCCGCACGTCGTATGCTATGTACCGACATGTTTGTAATCACTAATACTGTAAGTAGAAAGGTCGTTAGACACTTATTTCATTAGGTTTATCATATTTACGCCTATTTCTTAACGCCAAGCCAGTCGCTTCTTATTTTTATTACGATTATTTCCCATTTTAATTTTACGTCGTCCTGTTGCGTAATATATATTCTGATCATAAGCGACACAACCTCAGCCTTCAAAGGCTGAAGCGAAGTGACCGGGTGGCAGGAATCTTTTTACAGTGAAAATAATGGTATTTTAAAAAAGTAACATAAGCACTGCTTTTTTTTTAGTGTGACAAATATCGCTATTGGGAAAATCTACTTTTTTCATGAATAATACAACTTTTATTTGGAGTAGTGCCCAGAACGTAAGCTATGAGTAGCAATCGTATGGTTTCTATTCATTTCAATACTATTATACCACGGTACCCGAAGAAAAGAACATTTTAAAAATAGTTATAGACATTAGGCGTTATAGACAGACACATCAATTTTATTTATATGTACACATCTACTAGTTGTCGTTCTTCTGCTTCTTTTACTAATTCTACTATAGACATGGTTCATTCATTCATTTCTAGTGACCCGATCATTTAAGTATCGATACGTTTTACGAACCGGGTCATTCGGATCGATCATTCAAATGGATTATTTCTAGTTTCAGTACTCTGTCCTCTGTGAGATTCACTTGATAATGTCGGTTGTCGGACATAACTATAGGGTTGGGTTTGAAAGGAAGTCACCTGAAATTGAGGATTTTGTCACGGTGGAGGGGTGGGGGTCAAGGGGGGTTTATATGAAGCACCCCTATGCAATTTTTGCTGCCGGAGCAGCGTCGAAGTATTTTTTTAATATTCGTAAATCACTAACTAAACGTGAAATAAGCCGTACCTTTAACTAAATTCTAACGTTTTTGACGTTACATCTGTCAAAGTCATCTCAAAATGCGTAAAATGAATCACTAGTCCGGCCAATTTGTCGACAGTGACAGATATACTTTACGCCATTCCGTTGCTTCCAAGTTTATGAGAATGTGCTCCCTAACGTTTTTATCTGCCTCCACCCGTTTTTCGACGACATCGCTACCACTGTGGATCCTTTTTTATAAACGGTGGCAGCTATAAATTATTATTATAATTTAAAGTAATTATAAAAATTAATATTTTAGTGTTTTATTGAGTGTAAGAGCGAGCTAAGCGACTTCGGAACTTAGGGCACTCTGACTCGGATAGGTTAGGTTAGAAGGAAGATTTCTGATGATACAATACCGCCATCCCCTTCGTGGTTATTTTTTAATAAACCACTCAGAAGGAGGAGTACCATGTTGAGTGGCATGGGGCTTCCCTACCCCAACTCTTTCCCTCCATAAATCAGGTTTATATTGTCCTGGTGGGGGTGACTCTACAACTCCCCTCCCACTCCCCACCACTCACCACCTACCAATTCAGGCGACTTTCTTCCAAATCTTACCCTAACTATACTCTGGTCGTAGGTGCGTCAATCGTTAGATCCGGAACGTTCAAAATATGTAATTGCAATCATCAATATTTCGATGTGACCCGGGTCAAATCAACGATTCATTCACGTCAATCATTGACACATGTCTGTTCCACTACTTGCGATACCTAATTTGTATTTGGTAAATGTTTTACGCTACCAAGGTAAATAGTCCATGAACACCTGCAGTAAACTTAAAACAAAAATGTTTGCAGATGCGTCATCATATTTGAGGCCCAACAATGCCACATAGCTTATTAATTTAACTGTGCATAGCTATACAGGTAAAATAACAAATGAACTACAGTAAATACTTCAGCAGTATTATGG